AAGTTTTATTTATTTATTTATTTTTAATTATATGTTTTATAAGCAATGAAACGGTGAAGAAAGTTAAAACTTTCAATTTCCTTGTCCTTCCTTTTTGTCACATACCAAACAACAATGCATAAGATTCAAACTTCATTTTCCTCTTTCTCTCAACAATCAATAGCCAAACTAAAAAAAAAAAAAAAAGAAAGAAAGAGAGAGAGAGAGAGAGAATCCAAAAAAACAGAGATCGAAGTACTAACCAGAGCGTCAAGAAACAATCTGCAAGTAAGAACAAAATACAATCAAAAATCAAACAAAAAATTGAAAAAGAACAAAATAAAAATCACAAAAATAAAAAATTCTGACAAACCGTCATTTTGTCAACTCATATTTAGTGAGTAAAAATATGACTATTGATAATTATGACTATTGATAATTATGACCATTGATAATTAAAGAGAGTTTCAACTCATTTAACTAAGATGAAATAAAAATGATTCTTAACATGAAATCCATTTTCCCTTAACCCTCATTTGATAGAGAGAGAGAGAGAGAGAGAGAGAGAGAGAGAGAGAAGTGGGTGTTGAAACCCAATTGACTATTAAAGAAAAAAACACAATACAAAATTTTATTTGGTATTTTGAGACATTTGATAAATTTTTTAAAATCTCTTAACATTTTTGTTTTTTTTATTAAAGCTCATCCTCAACAGCATTTAATAGATTAGTTATCAGTCCTTATTAAAGGAAGACACCCTTTAATGTTTCAATTTCAGTGTGGTCCGAATGTAATTGTCATCGGTAGGGTTCAATGAGATTTTTGCTTCAGTATTTTTTTTTAAAGAGAGTCTCGACCCATAAGATGAAATAAAAAGGATTTTTAACATGAAATCCATTTTTCCTTAACCCCATTTGAGAGAGAGAGAGAGAGAGAGAGAGAAGTGGGTGTTGAAACCAAATTGATTATTAAAAAAAAAAAACAATATAGAATTTTATGTTGTATTTTGAAACATTTGAGACATTTGATAAAATTTTTAAAATTCTGACAAACCGTCATTTTGTCAACCCATATTTGGTGAGTAAAAATATGACTATTAATAATTATGACCATTGATAATTAAAGAGAGTCTCAACCCATTTAACTAAGATGAAATAAAAATGATTCTTAATACGAAATCCATTTTTCCTTAACCCTCATTTGATAGAGAGAGAGAGAAGTGGGTGTTAAAACCCAATTGATTAGTAAAGAAAAAAACACAATACAGAATTTTTAAATGTTTAACATTTTTCTTTTTGCTATTAAAGTTCATCCTCAATAGCAGCATTTAATAGATTATAGGAATTATTATCACCAAAAACATGGTGCAAAATAAAATGGGCTTTTGATTATGCCTTTTTGATTTCTGTGTAATGCAACAAAATCAAACCAAAAACAGAATGCTTATTCAATAATTTACTCATAGAAATCCATGTCATCAGCACCCATTTACTCATAGAAATCTTATTCAATAATTTTCTGAAATCCTCATAGGTTTAGTTGATGAAACCCACAAATATGAACCCAAAATCGAAACTCATTTTATAGAAATCCAAAATCGAAACATAAACCCATTTCAAAATACAAAATCAAAATACAATTTTATAGAAATCAAAACCAAAATTGAAACCCATTATAATCATAGGATAGTTGATAAAACCCATCAATGAAATAGAAATATATAAACCCATCATATTTGCAACTAATTTCAAACGTACAAAAAGAAAATGTAAATTTTCAACCCATCATATTTTCTAAAATACATACAGAAACAGAAACCCACTTCAATGAAATCAATATCCATCATATTTGTAACCCATTTCAATAGTTACAGAAATAGAAACCCATTTCGTAGGTTAGAAGAGTGAAAGAGCAGAGAAGAGGAGCACGTTGGGTTTTGTCATCTTCTCCCTTGGGGCTCCGAATTTGAGGTAGGGATATCCTACTCCTAAAAACCACTTCCCACATACCTTTAGTATTCAAACCTGGTACACTCTGATACCAAGTTGTAACGTCCCAAAATAATGCCATAAACCATCTACAACGATAAGTAAATAATAATATACATCAAAGTATAATATCTTTCTATTACATAAGATTTGGTTGTACAAAAGGGTGACACATGCGAATATACATTCATAAGTCATAACCTTGAATCTATAGCATGTGTCAACAACAAAGAAATGAAATAGAAGTTAAATAGATAATTGAAATTACTTGAAGGCTACAACTTTCCTAGACAGTACTTGATTACATCACAACGGATTTAAATTCAATACAAAATAAGCCCTAGGCTTAATAATAAGAAGTAAACAAAATGAAGCTCTTGCTTCAATCCTCCCAAGCTACTACCTTGGCGAAGGCATCTCACCAATACCTAAAAATATTTTTCCTATATAGGGTGAGCCAAAACCCAGTAGAAATAATCCAACACAATATATTAATCTTAATAAAGATATAAGGGTAAAATGTATATGCAATGCTCATGACAAAACAATTTATATCTTTCCCAAAAGCCACATAATGCTGGGTCTATGTCATAGTTCTCCAAATCATTTCCTTTAAAATAGAAAATAGGGGGAAACTCAACTTCGTATAGCCTTTCACGGATATTTCGTCCGCGGGAAACCGTCAAACGGGACCCATGTAAACGTAGGCTATGCAAGCCCTACTATTACCATTTTACGGATATTTCGTCCGCAGAAATTGGCACCTATGTATGTGCGCGTTTTTCAGGACTTTTACCCTGGACACATAGGCCAACTTAATTTGGTGATGCACACCTCATTCCTACATTCACCCATTTTTCTCAAAATCACATACATGTATAATTTTTGCTCACCCTAGACACATAGGCCAACTTAATATTTTGCTCACTACGAAATATACACATTTTCATTCACTACAAGAATATATAATTTTTTTTAGTCATTGTTGGCCATCTATCAATTGCTAATCTTTTAGTCATTGTTCATGGTTGGTTTAGTGTATTTCTACTGGGCTGTGGCTCACCCTATATGGGAATATCATTTTCAGGTACAGGTAGCATGCCACCTCCAAGGACATAGCTTGGGAGGCTAGAGGCGGATATACTTTTGTCGTTTTATTTTTGATGTATTACATGTAAATTCAAGCCAAGGGCTAAATATGTAAATGAGTTAGTACTCTTTTGTTGTAACCAAGTGTTAACTTGGAAAGCTGTAAGCCCGTAGGGCATTTTGCTTTTGTTGTTAACATGTAATACTTTTGTAATGAAATTCTGATGAATGTAAGGTTATGGGACTTTTACATATCAATGCATATTTATTTGATGGGTTTAATGTAGTTATTTTGAGGGCGTTACAAGAATAAGAGTGTCACCTATGAAGAGTTGCTAGAGATTGCAGAACCGAAACTAAGAAAAATTTGAGCTAAAACCATAGAGGAAAATGGAGAGTTGGTGGAGTATGTAAGAAGAGAGAGAGATGAATCTATCTTTTAACATGGGAAAGAGAGACAGAGTAAGTGAAGAGACACATTTTGGAGGAAAAAAGCTAAAACAAACAAATCATCTTGACCCATAGATGTTTGATAAGTATTATCTCAACCCTTTGTTCAAAATGTATCTCTGATACATTTTGAGACATTTTCAAAAAACCTCAAGTCTTATTAGAGGGTCCGAATGTGAGAATGTGAGACAAAAAATTTTTGCTTCAAAATGTATCTCAATGTGGTCCGAATGTGAGACAAAATTTTTTGCTTTAGCATTTTTTTTTTTTTTTTTTTTTTTGTTTTTTTTTGTTTGTAATTTTTTTTTTTTTTTTGCTTCAGAAAAAAACAATAAGTGAAGCCAGGGAAGAGCAAAATAAATCTGAGTGATTGTTTAGCATTCAGACTGAAGGTAAAAAAAAAAATGTTCTGTTCTTCCATTGTTTAGCATTCAAATTGAAGGTAAAAAAATCTGAGCCATTGTTTAGCATTCAAAAAAAAAAAAAAAAAAAAAAACAAAGGTAAAAAATGAATGAAAACACAAAAAGAAAGTAAGGAGAGAAGAGTGTCTTACCTAGTGATGGTGCAGAAGAGAGCTTCCGATTGAGCTTTGTTCTTCCTTCTTCAAAGCTTTCTCAAAGCTTTGTTCATAGATACATATGATGTAAAGAGTGCCTTACCTGGTAAAGTGTAGTGGGTTGGTGAGAGTTGACAAATCTGGACCATTGAATTTTAGTCATTGATAAATCTAAGCCATTGAAATTCTTTTCAATCTCAGCCATTGTTTTTAAATTGGACAAATCTGGACCATTAAAGATAGTTTGTTAGAGAGATATTTTTAAAAATAAATCTGAGCCATTGCTTTTCAAATTAGATAGATCTGAACCATTAATTTGGGAGATATTTTCAAATGAACCCTTCCATTATTATATAGATAATTTGAATTGAGGTGGAGCGGAGCTCAAACATTTCTAAAATGGATCAGATTAACTTCAGCACTGCACTAGTTGAGACTTATTTGTATTGCACCTCAAAGTTTGGAGTAATATACAAAATAATACGATTCAATATAAATCTTTTATTTTAAGATAAAACCTTTAATAATATATTTTTTATTCATAAAATTAACATTCTCATATCATTCGTGTCATGTTTTTTTCATTATTCTCCGTTTATTTGAGTGGAAAGCATATTCTACAAAAAAATTTTTACAGAAAAATATTTTCTTTCTATGTTTGGTAATGATGGTGGGATGAAGTGGAGGTGGTCGCAATGGTGGTGGGGTGGGGGTGTGGTGGTGGTGGTGAAAGTGGTGGTGGTAATATAATAATATTGGTAAGAATTTAGTCTGACAAAAAATTTTCTGTCAAATATTTCCTATTAATTTTATTTTTTATTATACCAAATGTTAAAAATGCTAGAAAATATTTTTATTTTCTCTCAAACCAAACGGAGCGTAATTGTCACATGCTGGGTTTAACATAATTCTGTTTGGCATGACCTAATCAAAGAAACTATACGCAATCCCAAAAGATTTATTTTTGGAAAAGAAAAAAAAAATCCCCCATTTTTAACGGTCATATTTTCCCATTCAAAAACCATAGCAAAGCTCTTCCCATAACCATTTCAAGAAGCAGAAACTCAAAAAGATTTGGCAAAAACTAGGTCTAGAAGATAGAAGGGTTTTGTTCGTTATCAAATTCCAGCACTAAACAATGCAGATTTCTGAGCACAGTGATGTGGCAGCAGAGAAATTTCACTACAATGAAGAAGATGAATCCGAATATGAAGAATGCGATGCTGATGATTCAGGTGAAGATCCAACATTTGAGGTTGTCGATAAGATTCGATGTAGATTTTCAAGGCTATCCACCAAGAACAAACCCAAATCATGGTGAGTCTCAAATCTCAATACATACTCATATAAGATGTTTGATTTTATGTGTAGATGAGATTTGTTCGATTTAATTGCACTCATAATTAATGTCTCAATGTGGGATCAAATGGTTTGTTTTTGCAGTAACATTAAGGAAATGGAGGAGGGTAATGAAGAGGACCCAGATGTAGTCGTAGAAATGGTTGTGCCAGAGCTTGGTGAAGAGGATCAGAAAAGTTTTGAGGCTGTTCAAAAGATCATAGAAGGTTATCCCAAAACTTTTATTTTCTTTTGATGGGTTATAAATTAGAAAGTGTATCTAAATTTTTGATGATTTTGATGAATGAAAAAAATGAGTTGAATTTGATAATTGTTAGTGGCAGTTAATAATATATATGGACATTTGATAACCTTCTTATGAGTTGTGCTTTATATAATAGTATAGTATAGTATAGTATAGATGTTCTGATCAAAATGTGATTTTTTGATGGCAGTTGGACAGGTAGAGAAGCTGAAAGTGGACCAGTGCAAGGTTTATTTGAGGAAACATGGATTGAGGTTGACAGGGAACAAAGATATCCTCATTGAGCGCATTAAAGAGCATCTAGAGTAATATTTCATTTTTGGGGTTGTTTTGCTTAATGATTTGTCGAAATACATCTGCTGCTTGAATCGAAAGATACTTTCCTAATTATTTCAATTCTGGCTGCACTTCAGCATTCTTAGAGGTGGTGGAGAGAAGAAGTACCCAATATCAAGCTTCGTATTGAACTGCAAAGGTATACATTCTACCCTTAAGTGCTGAATTTTCTTTATTTCATTCCCCCCCTCCCTGTTCTGAAATACTTTGTTTCATAGACTCATGTATAATGTAAGTATTGGGTGTGAGTTTGTGTTCAAGCGTATTGTCTTAAACCTAAATCTTAAGATATTGGCATATGCATCCAAAAATTGCAAGTTGTATAGTATTCTTAGATAAGGTGTTGTACATTATTTAAAAAATGTACTTCAAATTAAATTGGATTTAAGGAAAATTTGGATTTTTACCTCCCAATCATTGAGAAATTGTTTCTTTACTAGCAAATATGAGCATCTTCTTCTTTTTCTTCTTCAAACATAAAAATTTAGAGGATCTGAGTTTCTAGAATGAGTACAAGTGTTGGGCGCATATCCCCATGCACTAATCCCAGTCGTAGCTGGTGGACGTGTACAAGAGGAGAAGTAGAAGAGACAATGTTAATAGCTGACGGATTTTTCTTGTGTATTTTACCTTTCATGGATGATTTCTTTTCTCAATTTAAAAAAGAAAAATGGAAAAATATTAGAGCTCATGGACTAGTGGACCCCCAGTCATATCATACGAACCTAGAACCAGTTAGACAATCTAGACATTCATTAGAGTATTTTTGTGATCAAGTGACTGTCGTTTGGAAAGTGGGTTGACTTTTTGACTTTTTTTAGCTATTTTAGCCTAGGCTAAAAAGCTTGGTTTGGGAAGAACTTTTTGGCTTTTTGGCTTTTTTGACTTTTTTAATGAGAGAAGAGTGTAATTATTATAGGTTGGATGTGATATTTTGTTTTTTATGGCTAAAATAGCCTATTTTGTCTTTTGTGGCTAAAATAACCCCAAATCCATCTTCCCAAATGGAGAAATTCTTTACTTTTACTCCATTCAAAACACAGCACACTGGTTGGGGAAAGCACTGTCCTTCACATTGTTAGGCAAATTATCAGATTCACCATCCAAGCAGTTCGATTCAATTTGTATTTTCACATCCATTTTGAGAGCTCAGTTTTCATGTCAAAAGTAATCACCTTCAAATCCATTTTTATGCTTTCTGACTAATAATTGGTTATTTATATGCAGGTGATGCATGCACAGGAGATGTTGTTATGTTTGAACAAAATGTTTATGAAATGTGAGTATTTTTGGCAATTCTTTATGCACTTGTCAAAGGAATACTTTAATGAAACCTATTTGCTTTTAACTTGGTAGCGGGAAATAAAGAAGATAGTGTGGGATTGATACTTTCTGATTTTTAAGTTATAACACCACTTGTCGAATTGTATTGCTGTGTTCATTTGATGGTTCAAGCTTGGATCTATCTAAATGCATAAAGGAAAATGTAGAATATCCTTAGATGGTTGTACCTTATGATTGGTTGCTTTGAGCATTACCACATGAAAAGCAGAATAAATGGATGGTGTGATTACTATGTCCAGTTATTTCCCAACCTGCCTTTTGATTTGCTATGTTCATTTGTTGCAGGTTCAACATTGCATCTCGAAGTGCTGGTGGTCCTCCATGTGGAAAGAGGATTGTTGCAGGCCGCATCGTGAAAGAAAGTTATGGTGCTGCAAAGCAACAGCATACATTCACCGTGAGCTTACAAGCCTACCTAACTTAGATTAAATACAATGAGTGCAATGCTTATACTTGCTGTATTGTATTTGATTAGTGAACTGTGAATTTTCCTCACTACTCGTGTCAGATTGAAGTACTATGGAGTGAAGGGGAGAAACCACTCCCTCCACTTTATCCCCTCTTAATCAAGGGCAGAAATCTTTATCGGTTAAAGACAATGAGACAGGTTCGTCCCACATTAACGGTTTATGTTCTTCACCATTATCCATTTATCATTCAAATTATGTTCTTAATCCATAATATCAACTTCAGAGATGGGACAATGAAGGCGAAAGGCAGAAAATGATATCCGAGAAGCATGCTAGAGGCTCTCTTGCTCGATCAAATAGGGAAGCACGTATACAATTGAAGGAGACGAAGAAGGCCAACACTTCAGTCCCAATTGTAAATGTGCCATCACAAAGGATTCAGCAGTGGCAACATTTGACAAATATGCCTTCAAGGAGTCTATTACAAAGTCAGAATCATGAGCCAATCATGAAATCTATTCCTTCTCATTGTCAGTTCCAAAGGCAGAGTCATGAGCAATACACAAATAGTAATAATCCTTTAAGAAGGCCTTTGACAAACATGAACTGTTCAATACAATCCAAAGATCCATATCCATTTGGATCCTGTCCTGGTTCAACGAGTCCACTCCAAAGTCACAATCATGAGCGAAGCATGATTTCTTATCCTTTGAGGATTCCAATTCAAAGGCAAGGTCCTGAACGAAGCGTGAATCCTAATTCTTCAAGGCATCATAAAGGAAACATGAATTTCAGTCCAACTAAGGGTCCATTCCAAAGGCAACTTTGCCGATTCTATGCTCAAGGAAGGTGTCATTATGGAGATCGATGCAAGTACTTGCATGAATATAGAGGGAATCTGATCTGTGGCGAAAGAACGGATAAAAGGTGGCCATCTGATCTACGGTATTACTAGCAAAAACTCTTGGACTAAAAATTTGCAGTTTGAAAGTGGGTTTCAGCAATCTTGCTGATTTTTGTTTTGTTGGACCTATTTGGAAGTGTGATTTTTTGCAGTCTTCCATACGTTTGAATCTCTTGGAGTTTACCCAAAAGCAAGTTTGAATATTGCTGATTTTGGTCTACATTCAATGTTGAAATCAAGTATATTACTTGGAAGGGTTTTAGTTGCATTTTGAGTAGGGATTTGATCTTACATTCAAGTAGGAATGTAATCGGTTCAGTACGGTCGGTATTTAGGTAAATTTTTCCACCCAACCGATAATGTCGGTTTTATTATTTTGAGTACTAACACAGACCTCTTCTCCCATCCAACCACACTAAACTGCACCAACGGAAGCGGTTCGGTTTGGTGCAGTTTAATTGATTTAGGATCTTTCAAATTTAATCCATTTATCAACCATTTCAATCATATCAAATTCATCAATTTAATAAATACTTCATAATTTCTAGATTAACATACAAACAAAAAAATAATAATAAAGACTAAGGCTTCAAGAATAATGAGTTAGAGTTAAAAGATTATATACATAATAAAAGTATCCTAACTTAGGTTATAGGGATGATAATGTTAATTAATTGAGATTAATAATTTATTATATTTATTAATATCATTATATTATTAAATTTTATATGTATCATAAATACAATATATGTTGAAGTGGTCGGTTTCGGTTTAATTCAGTACATAAGGTGCTTAATCTGATACCGAATAGAAAATCGGAAAAAATCAAATTAAAAAATCGTATAGGCTGATTCTTATTAAAAAAATAGACCAAATACATCTATTTTGGTCTAGTTCAATCAGTTTGGTCAATAAGGTGCTTAATCTGATACCGAATAGAAAATCGGAAAAAATCAAATTAAAAAATCGTATAGGCTGATTCTTATTTAAAAAACAGACCAAATACATCTATTTCGGTCTAGTTCAATCAGTTTGGTCAATTTTTTTGATTTTTTCTTAAATCCCTACATTTTTTTTTTTTGGAACAAAAAAAAAGGATGGTCTGAGGTGTCATCACTACATCCGTAGGCCCAGGCCCCGGGATAGCCGGTAGCGAGCCACTGGAATTACCCAACATTTCGTTCCCCTCAAAAGTCAAACCTGTATCAGGTCTGTAGAGAATGATGCCTTCTCCACTAGGCCACCACTCCTGGTGTGGTTAAATCCCTACGTTCAAGTATAGCTTGCTGATTTTTATCTTACATTCGATGTTGAAGTTGGTTTTTTGTGGCTATCAAATGTCAATATATGTGGCATTTTAGTCCTGACCTCAAGAGCTATTAAGTGCTCCTAAAGTAAATATGCAGAGTACTTCAGTAATAAATTTATATGGTTTTTATAAGGTAACATGAGATATGTCAATTGATAAATAGTATAAAGTATTGCTTGAGTGACACCCAATGAACCATTTTGTAAAAATTATTTTTGTATATGTAGCACATATGTTAAAAATATAAATATAAATAAATATGAAAAAATAAAAGAAAATGGTAAAACAAACACGGTGATAAATGATAGAGATATGTTTTTACCACTATATATTCACCTAATTAATGTTGTAATTAATGTTATTGTGGGTGTTCATTTTTGACCACACAATCAAACGGGAAACTCAGCTGAAGAGCACCAGCAGAATAGATTAAGCCCGAACAACCTGTCACAAAAAGATAAGAATTCGACGGTGGTTCGTTTACCCGGGGACACTCCGATACTGAAGTCAGTAAACAATTATCTCTCAAAAATAGCAAATTGTGCTTATACTCACATGAAAGAACTTATTACTCTTAGTATCTCACACATACCTTAGACCCACGAGGGTGTCTTGTTTTTATAGCCAGCACTGACCTAATCCCTATAGAAGCCTCACTTCAGTGGACTCAGGCTTGATGCTCATCCTAGACTCTCAGCTAGATAGGGATAAACTCCCTAAAAGCTTTATCTTTATCTAGACTGAGATCCTCCCCTATTCTAGGACTCTTGTCCCTTATCTGCTCATTTCGGATTCCGATGTCTCCGCAGACAACCTCAGCCTAGCTGAAACCGCCTCGGCCCAAGCCACGTAGCACCTCAGCTGACACTCCGACGTCACCTTGGCCACGTGCTGTTATATATATAAAATATGTCCCCACAACTGCCCCTAGGTTCTATTACCTCGGCATCTTGAGATGATGGAACCTACATCGCCCACTCATAGTTCATGTCAGCTAAAATTCATTCTTTCCTTCGACCGAGATCACGACTTGTCGGTTTCCTGTACTCAAGACTCAACTGCCCATCTTTATCAATGACCAAGAACCAAGAACCAAGTTCTTTAAATTCCTTAACTGAGATCATTCTGCAACGCCCTCAAAATAATAACATTAAAACCCACCAACATAGACATGCATTGGTATAAAAGATAAATATTCTTCTATACATCAGAGTAGTTTCTTACAAAAGTATTACATGTTAACAACAAAAGCAAATGCCCTGCGGGTTTACAGCTTTCCAAGTTAACACTTGGTTACAAAAAGAAGAGTACTAACTCAATACATATAAAGCCCTTGGCTTGAATTTACATGTAATACACCAAAAGAAAATAAACAAAACAATCCGCTTGCCTCTAGCCTCCCAAGTTATGTCCTTGGAGGTGGCATGCTACCTGTACCTGAAAATAAGCATATGAGTTGTATCAACAGATATGCATATTAGCTATATCAACACTTCCAAAGATAAGCATATGAGTTGTATCAACACTTCCAAAGATAAGCATATGAGCTGTATCAACACATAATCTGACAAGCATATGAGCTGTATCAATGAAGTCCATCCCCTATCTCCTCCCAAACAACATCCGGTTTAGAGGTTCATCCCCTATCTTCCCCTAAACCGTGGAGTACATCCCCTATCTCCTCCCACACACCCAACGTATATACACAAAGGTCATATACACAATCAATCAATACATAACGTTAATGTATTCTATCAACCGTCATACTCTATGACATATCCAATTGATTAGTTTTAGTTCGCCTAATCATCATGCATTGTCTACAACAATCAAAACTACCCTCCACCAGTATCCCAAGCAATTATTTCTAAACAGATAATAAAAGCTCCAACAAATAAAATATCAATGTTTTCAAAAGTGAGCGATTAATAAATCTAACTCCACTATTCAACCATATAATGAACCAATTTCATTATTTCCAACTCAATTCCATATAGCTACAATTTTCCCAAATTAATTACATCAATTAATTTATTCAACAAATTAGAGTTTTCTACCCCGTTTCCCAATATTGACCCAATGGCCTATATATCAACAACCAACAACAAAATCATTATTTTGAAACCCAAAATACATATTTTTGAATCAAAATAACAAAACCCCCTTTTGACATTTTCAAACCCTAACCTCCCAAAATCAAGCATTTAACAAAATACCCAACTATCTAGGTCAAAACCCATAGTTGTGAGTAGGAATCCCTACCTCAAATTTTCGGATCAAGGTAGAGCCCTCGACGATCAACCCAACTTTGTAAAGACCAAAGGTGAGGAAAACACCCTAGCTAGATCAATACTTAGAGAGAAGTTATGGTTTTAGAGAGAGGAGCTCTCAAATGGCTTTTTGGAAAAGTAAGAGAGAGAGAAAATGTAAAAAGTGATTTTAAAATGCCCAGCTGCCAACTGATATACGACTACGACATTCTCGCTCGAGCGGAAAACACAATGCTCGAGCGTCAAGAACAAAAAACCAGGTCCGCTCGAGCACGATAAGGCCCGCTCGAGCGCCAAGATACAAGAATAAAGTACATCCGCTCGAGCGCGAAAACCAGTCCGCTCGAGCGTAGATTTCCCCCTCCCAGAACTTACGCCCCAAAAAGTACTACCCGCTCGAGCGCCAACAAACCCGCTCGAGCGCAGGAAACCTGCTCGAGCATAAAAATCACACCTGCAGAAGTTTTGCAGGGACACGAAATACAGGGGGTGTGCAATCCCCGCTCGAGCGCAAGAAGACCCGCTCGAGCAGACCGCCTAAAAACTGGGCAACAAGGGATTGAAACCAAGGCCTAACCAACCTGTAACAACCCTGCCCAAAACATCCTAAAACTCAAACAAATGGAATTTAAGGACGACAACAAGATAGATACAACTACTAACTCCACGGAACCAAGTCCGGAATACAACAGAATAGTAAAGGGACAACCGGGACCGCTATAGTTCCGTTAGCCGAGGTTTTTGCTTCGTGAAATCAAGAACTCCAAGAGTTTTATCTGCGCATGAGCTGTCACGCTCGATTTTCTCAACCGTTTCCACCACGTGTCCTTCTCTCATTGGTTCGCCTGACAAGCACGTCATCCAAGGCGTTTTAATTATGTTTTGCCGCCTTTTCACGCTTTAACAAACTCTCTCTCTGTGTCTTTTCACTTTGTATTCTCGCACTCTCTCTCAAAGTTTTCTCTGTCTACGAAATTTCCCTAAAACCTCCATTACTGTCCTTTCGAGTTTTCTACGATCATCTAACCTCCACTTCCAGCGAGCTTTTTATCACCGGGCTCAGGCAATACCATCGTTGGAGTCTGGTGAACTTCTTCTTAGCCTTTATTTGGTAAGTTCCTGATTTATTTTCCTATAATCTCTGTCCTTCATTTTTGATTTGTTGCGTGTCTGTTACCTGTTTACATACTGTTAATTGCCATTGCAAATTAGTTTTTGTTTTTTAATCTTCACTGTATTTTGAATCTCATGTTTGTCTGTGATTCGTGTTGTTTAATATATCCTTGTATCTTTTCACACTGTTCATGATTCTCGCACACACGTACATAGTGTTCATAACTTTGAAGAGCTTCAGCAATTTTGCCACTGTTCTTGGCTTTTGCACCTTTGCACACACCTACTCAATGTCTCTCAAAAAATGTTGCTTTCTTGATTTTGAATCATGTTCTTTTCTGTTTTTCTTTGACTTGTTTCAAGATTCTTGCCTTTGATTCTTGTTTCCGTATAGACTTAGGTTTGGGATTTGATAGAAATCACATTCTGTAGCAAAATTGAAACAAATTCCCCCGTAGATCTTCAAAAACCCTCGCCCCAGTTCCAGCTTAGGTTTTAGCCGAGGTTCCCAACCCCTACCACTTTCTTCTCTTTGACATTCATCCCAAAACACTCTAAGCCAAGACAATGGATA